TTTACGCATCCTATAAATTAGCACCTAACTGGGGCTACATATCCTACTGCAGTCATTTAATAGATACATTTTGTTTTCCTGAAACTTTTTTTTGTAACTCAATTTACATTCCTTCCCTAGGCATCATCACAGCACACAAAATGCGATCTCCCATCCAGTACACACTGCATAGTGACTCAATCATGCACATTACAAAAAAAATAAATTTCCAATTCTAGTTTCTAGAATTATTTCCATCCCTCTTTCTGACCCTCTGTCCCTTCCCACCCTCCTCTCACACCACCTCCAGTGTCCAAAATTGTCCTCCATTCCCTTCCCACCCACATTGCATTGATCACACAATTTCCTACATAACCTGACTACTTTCAAAGGTGAGTTCCCTCGTTACTACTAAGAAAACCAGTTTTAACTTAAATCAAAGAACCGCCAAGGAACTTTGCTTAAAGCCCGGAAACAGGTTAGGATTCTGTTCAAATGGTAGGTGCATGAACCTATCAGTCTCATATACTTTTATCTTCTGTTCTGGTTCAATTTTCCTGATTAAATTCTGGGATATAGTATTCAACTCCAGACTTGTCCCTATGATTAAGTTAGCTACTTTCTCAGTTTTTGGACTCTTATTTCCATGTATCTGCGTTTAGTTTTCCTGATACAGCACATCCTTGAGAACTTCTTGGAGGTCTGGTCTGGTGCTGGTAAATTCTTTCAGGTTTTGTTTATCTGAGAATGTTCTTGTCTTTTCTTCCCACCTGAAAGATAATCTTGCCGGATACAGTATTCTTGGCTGAAACTGCTTCTCTCTTAACACTTGGAATATATTTTCCCATTCTCTCCTCGCTTTTATTGTTTCTGATGAGAGATCTGCTGTTAGCCTGATGGGATGTCCTTTGTAGGTAACTTGATGTTTTTCTCTTGCTAATCTTAGTATCTTGTCTTTGTCTGCAGTTTTGGTCAACCTGGCTATAATGTGTCTTGGAGAAGATCTTCTAGGGTTGATTCTATTTGGGGTCCGTTGTATTTCCTGGGACTGGATCTTTGAATGCCTCTCTAGGTTTGGAAAGTTTTCTTGCAGGATTTCCTGGAATAGATTATCAATGCCCTTATGGGTTTCCTCACCTTCTGGAATGCCAATTATCCGGATATTTGGACGTTTGATGGTATCCAGTACTTCTCGCATATTATTCTCAAATTTTTGTGCCATTTTCTCAGCCTTCATGGTGGATTTTTCTAGGCCAGCCATTTTCTCCTCTACATCTGAGATTCTATTTTCTGAATGATCTAGTCTGCTTTTAATGCTTTCCAGGGAGATTTTGACTTCTTGTATTATAGACTTCATCTCTAGCAGTTCGGTTTGAGTCTTTTGTAAAGTGTGTAATTCCACTTTTAGATCTTGCAGGAATTTCCTCATCTCTTGGAACTCGTCAATCTCTTTCTCCTTTCTCTTTAGTAGTTCATTATCTCTCTTCTCTTCCATCTCTGTTAGCTTAGACATTATGAATGATCTGAATTCCTTATCAGACATTTCCATGATTTTCACCGAACTGCTTGTGGATGAAGAGTTACTCTTTTCCCTAGGAGGAGAGGTATTTTCTTGTTTTCCCATGTTTCTCGTGATCCGGCGGTGATTTCTTGTCATCTGATGAATGTTGTGTTTTCTTTCAAATTCTGGAGGTTCAGCCTTAATGTTAAGGAGCAAGCAGACAGAGGTGATCCAGAATCTCTTTGCTGTTCTATTGTGCTTGCTGGTGCAGCAGATTCAGAAGATAGTGGGGAATATTTCAACCCTATTAGTATTTGAATGTTTAGCTACAGTGATCTTAGATCTGTCTAAAAACACACTGAAAGGATATTGGAGAGTGAAGAGACAAGAAAAAAGAAAACGAGACAGAGAAAAACAACAAAAAAAGAAAAAAAAATCAAAAAAAAATTAACAAGAAAGAAGGTGGAGCTAAGGGCCAGAGAAAAACTGGGCCTCTTTTTTTTAAAAAAAAAAAAAAAGGGTAAAAAGGAAATATTACCAAAAAAAGAAAGAGAAGACAGAAACAGGGAGAGACAGGAACTGAGAGACAGAGAGAGAAGGCTGGGGGTGCAGAGGAGGGCTCCCTGAATTACTAGTAGAAAATCTTCATTCCCTTAAAAATCTAGTTCACAGTAGCCATGTGGAACCTTGTTCTCAGGTTCGATTTTTAAAATATGAAACCACTTTTGTGCATATAAGCTCAGGGTATCTTACTTGATTTACAAATAAGCTTGTATTTTAAACTAAACATATCTAAATCCAAAATTTATGTATTAAATATCTTTATTTGGAGAGGACCAATACATTAGTCAAATATGTTGAGTAAAACAAGTGAAATATATATACATGTAAAATTAACATCTTACAGCTTTGTTCACCATCTCATTTCTTTTTTTTTTCTTTTCTTTTTTATTTTTTCCATCTAATTTCTTTTTCTGTTTTTTTAGTTTGTGTGTGTACTCCCTGGAGAGCTGCAGGTAAAGAGAGAGAGAAAAGGTGAGAAGTCACCCCTCTTCTCCATTCTCCTCTCAGGATTTTGGGCACACATGCACATGCAACTGGTGTGTTTTCCAAGCCACAGGATCAAGGACTCGAACTATGTAGTCATCCATGTGAGATCCAATTGCCTTAACATGCAGCTAAAAACCTGTGGTTCCTCATATAATTTCTAATTGTTCTAACAATAACATTTGGTTTGAACTTTGACAAGTTTAAAGTTGATTCTTAAAAAAGCATGTAATTTGGGGCCAGCAGGTAGCATGGAAGTTGAGGTAGCTGGATCCCACATGGCTGACTGTGGTTTCAGTATCAGACCTGTTGGCTTAAAGACACCAAGTATGTGTGTGTTCATGCCCCAAATCCTTTGAAGATAATGGAGAAGGAATTATGACACGCCATGCCCTCAGGATAATTTCTCACTCTCTCTGTCCCACTCACTCTGGTAAACACACACACCCTATAGAAAACTTTAAAAAAAAAAAAGAAGAAGAAGAAGAAGAAGAAGAGCAAAGCATGCACTTTTGTCAAGATGGAAACATGGATGTGATTACAGATTACATAAATTATTTTCATTCCAAAAAATTAAACACTGAAATAAAAGTCATATAAGCAAGTAATGTTGATTTCTGAAACAGAATGTCATTAACCCAAATGTTAAGAGTTTATCATTTAAAAATAAACACTTTAGAATTTCAAATTGTAAAATTTGTATTTTGTCATAAATTATTTTTTGTAATGTCACACAACATTAAAAAAAAAAAAAAGCAATAGGGTTAGCTCCATGACATCATGCTTAAGGCAGCCAGATTCTACATGACCAACTGGAGAGTTCGAGTTCTGGATTGAGTGGGCTGAGAATCATGCTAGGCATGCATGAATGCATGCCCAAATCCAAAAGGAGAAAGAGTTGAAAAAGTAAGGGTGTTGTGAAACAAGTCTCCCTTGGGGGTGCTTTCCACTCTCCCTTTCTGACTGTCTCTGTTTCTCTCTGACAAGTTTATTTACCTACTATGCAGGAAAAAAAAAAAGAAAATGCACTTTTTTGGGTTTAGTTTTGCTATATGGCATATGTGCTCACTAGAGAGATAGAAGAAACAGAAAAAAATGAAGAATTACACTCTGAGTGGCCATGCTGCACACCCTTTTTTATTCTTTTCTTGAGATTTTGGGCACACACACACATATGTTTCTCAAGCAGCCAGGTCCAGGACTCAAACTGCACATTTGGTCATGTGGGAGGCAGCTACCACAACCACCAGGCTCCCTGCTGGCCCAACTTGTTCTCATTGTAAATGCTGATTTGAGGTGTAATTAATTTTCATAAATGTTGCACATATATAATGCATATATTTGAATGAGTTCAGACATAGTCATACACTTATATAATAGTCACCATTATACAAAAAGAAAAACAACCAAACAAAAGAGTTCATCCATATAGTGCCCTTTTTGAAGTATCAAGATTAGCTTCCAAGAAGCACAAACTATACAAAAATGTACAACATTTCTGTAAAAAAATAATGAACACACTGAGGCACGGTTGAAGAAAGCTATGCCATTTACAATAAACAGAAAAAAATATAAGATACCTGGAAATAAACCTAACCAAAGAAGTCAAAGACCTCTACAAGGGAAACTATAAAATACCAAAAGAACAAATTGAAAATGACACAAAAAAAGTCGAAAGACAGCCCATGTTTCTGGATCAGAAAAATTAATATAATCAAAATTTGAATTCTACCCAAATTAATCTACATATTTAATACAATCCCAAGCAAATGTCCAGTGACATTCTTCACAGATTTAGAAAAAAACTATAATAGAATTTGTCTGCAATAATGAAAGACCCTATTTTGCCAAAGCAATATTGCACAAAAAGAGTAGACAGCATCTCTCTCCTTGACCTCAAAATATATTACAATTATTACAATGCTGTGATAATCAAAAGGGCATGGTATTGACACAAAAACAAACTTTATTAGTCTGGGTTTTAGCAGTCTCTGCACAACACCATGGGGTATATCTTACAATTTCACTAGTAAAGAGATTTCTACTTCTCATGAGCAATGATGTAGTAACCACCAAAATCACACTGAGCCTCTACCAAAAACCAAACAAACAAAAACTCAAAGAATAGGGAGGTGGAAATAGAAGGATTAATGATAGATATTCACCTTCCACCTCTACATTAAATGCACTCCTAATTACCTTTGTGTGTTTATGTGTCAGTTTATTTTTTTCCTTAAAAAACTATTTTTTTCACTTTTAAAATTTATTTTCTACATTGAATCACTGTGTATCATTAATTTCTAAATTGTGTCTTTCATCCAGCTTCATCCATTTCTAAGGAAAAGCCAATTTGCCCATAATACTGGATACAACATGGCCCTAGGAAAAAAAAGAAACCATACAGCACAGTATGATATCTACAACTTAGTGAGGTTATCTAATGAGAATTTCACCAACTGGTTGCTGGTTAAAGTAGGAGACTTTGTTTACAGGAACCCCCACGATCAAGACTTGAACATCAATAAAGAGATGATAAAATGGCCTGTTAGTTTCAAAGAGGTACGATGTCATTTCTACATTGCATTTATAGTGTTATTTGAATAGTCTTGAAGTGAAATTGTGTGACTATAAATTAGGATTAAATTGGGACTAACACTTGGCATAATGGCTATGTCACTGGACTCCCATGAGGCTGACCGCAATTTGAGTCCTGGACCTGGTGGCTTAAACTCACACCAGGCACTTGTGCCTACATGCCAAAGATGCCAAGAGGAGAATGGAGGAAAAGGGATTGCAGTGTGGCCATACCTCCAGCGGGGTGATTTCTCACTTTCTGTCTCTCTGTCTCCCTCTGTCTTTCTGGTGAGCACACATATTCTATAGAAAAAAACACTCAAAAAAAAAAAAAGGATTAAATTAACCTTTTACGTCTTGTCTTTGCACTATGTAATTTTGCTTTTATATCTCTTACACTGTCAATATAGCAAGAATTGGTTTATATAAACTGCCATTCTATAATTTAGGTATATTTGTTCAAAGCAGCAGTCCAACGAATAAAATCAACAAGTTCATTAATCAATCAACCATTACTTAATGAGAAGAATGTGTTCTAAGAAAAGAATTGTTAGACAATTTTTTCATGGTGTGAACATCATAGATTGCATTTATACAGATCTAGATGGTTTTGCCTACTACAAACAGAAACTCTATGGTCTAACCTATTACCTCATGAGATGGCTGCCATAGTATATCTTGTCATTGGCTAAAATGTCTTTTCTTTATGAAATACATGACTCCCATATGTATGTATGAGTTAAAGACAATCACTCTATATATCCTGAAACTATCATTAATTGCTGGTCTTTACTATACTTCAGTATACACACAAGTATTATACTTCAGTGCACACACAAGTAGATTACAGATTAAGAAAGCATTTACCTTTCTGTAGATAGCATACTCTTTTCCTTTTGTCATTTTCTATACCATTCAGCCTTCAACATTTCTTGTACTAAGTATATAAAAGCACTAACCATAATCACAGGCAATTAGATGAGACAAGTGATTTATAAAACAATCACACTTTGCCCATCTATTGTTTTCATATCTGAAAAGCAGGTTTTACCTGAACTCAGAAACCCAGAAGTGGATTAACCATAATTCATGATTCATAAAATATCCTCATCATGTATCTGCCCATAATTTTAAAGTCATTTGCCTTTGATAATGTGCCTATATATCATATATGTATACGATATATACACATATATACCTATATGATATATACACATATATACATATATGTTATATACATATATAATGTGCATATAATATATATATATATGTTTGTGTATATATATATATATGATATATACATACATAGATATGTGTATATATTTTAATTTAAAACCTACAATTTTTTACTCAATGAACTGAGAGAAAGGCATGAATATTCTCAGGAACATTTATCCTAACTTTGCCATGAAGGAACTTGCAGTACAGTGGTTTGGGATAAAGTTGGATAAATAAGAGAAGAGAATAACCTAAGGGATTGTTCCAGTCATGTTTGAAATAATAATAGGCGAGTCACTTGGTAATATTGGTGAACTGTTTATAAATGGAAAGGAAAGCTAATCATATACATTCTGGACTGGCTAACTGACTGACTCTGTGGCCTGTTGATAAAGGCGACCAGATCTCACATGACTGATAACAAAGTTTGAGTCTGGGACTAAGTGGCAAAAGAAGACACTAGGTACATGTGCATGCATGTCTCAAATCCTGAAAGCACTGATGAGGCAAAAGAATTGCAGTGTGATCAGCCATTCCCCATCGAAGGTGCTTTCTCTCATCCCTCTCTTTCTGTCTTTGGTGAGCACATGCACCCTCTAGAAAAATGAATAATCTACATGATATCAACAAGACAAAAGCTGTGAGAACAAGGAATGATAAAATATTTTTTAAAGACAAATCTTTCTCAGAGGTGGAGTGATTTACAAACATCCCTTCAAAGCAGCTGATAATGTACATAATGATGACTGATTCTCCTTTCTGCTCAGACTCCTGAATCTGTGTGTAGCCAGAGCTGTGGTCATGGATTACAGAAAATTTACCAAAGAGGAAGACCTGATTGCTGCTTTATTTGTGTTTCTTGCACAGACAGAGGCATTTCAAATCAAACAGGTATTAAATAAGTACCTTATGATACACCAACCGCTGTTTCTCAATAAAAACGAAACCCAATAATTGGAAATGGAAAAAGAGCACCATTGTTCTCAAGTTACATGTTCACTCACCGTTACAATATACTTATAAACACAACTACTACCCTATTATGCATCAGCCCATTTCTGGTTTTGCTCATCCTATTAGGCTCCATTGTTAAACTGATTTCAATGGACACTTTTATTTGCAATCCAGGGCTGGGTAAGACTGTGTCAGTCTTAGATCTCATACTGGGTCATGCTAAAGTCTACCCATAAAATGGAAAATGTGTAATATTCAAGGCTTTCTGTGGATTCTTAAAAGGCTTGAAATTGACAGATTTATATCCCGATGATAAGCACAAAGGAAGTATATTAAATTATTATAAAAATAATTTATAACTGTTAACAAAATATATGCCATGTATTAATGAAACTAACCAATATCAGAACCTTACACTTTGAAATATTATAATATACTAAGAAAAAGACACATCTAAAAATAAAAAAGATGCAACATTCTAATAAATTTTACAATATGACACCTCAAATTATAGCTGTTATACAAGATATAAATTCAAGAAATTATATATCAAATATGTGGTATTGACAGGATATGAAATGTGGAATGACTCATTAAATCACATTTCCATTTTCTAATATGCAAAGAATAATTATTAACAATGATTTGAGTTATTTCACAAGTATTCTTTAATTCCAGTACTCAAGAGTTTAAAAATTTTGAATTTAATCACTAACTGGGATATATATACATATATATATATACATAAAACCAGCCAGGTGGCATGGTGGTTAAGGAAGCTAGGTACCACATGGCCAAAGGTGTGCTTCAAAATCAGACCGGAAAATTAAAGAACATGCCAGGAATGTGGACACTCATACCCAGGGTCCTCAGAGGAGAATGGAGCAGAAGTTGTGGCATGGTCATACTCCCTGGGGGTAATTGCTCATTTTCCCTCTCTTTGTACATCTTATAGCAAAACTTTATTAAAAAAATAATTAGTACATGTATTTAGGTGATTAGCCATGAAAAAAATTACTCTTGGCTCTAAAAAAAGATTTTCAACACCCAGTAAGTATGTAAAACAAGAAATAAAAATAAAAGAAAACAGAGCATAAGACTCAGAATAAAATGTATGTATGTTTCTGCAGGCCAAGCCTGTCTCAGATAGAAGCCAGGTGCATCTGTTGATGCTAGAAATAGAAAAGGGTATTTAAAGAAAAAAATGAGTTAATCTTTCTTCAGCTATTTGAGAATATTATACGATTGCCTAAGTATTAATTTAAAAAATAAAAGCTTTTGGGCCAGAAGGTGGTATGGTGGTTAAGGCACTGGATTTCCACTTGGCTAAATGTAGTTTCAGTTCCAGACCCAGCATGTATACCTGTGTTTCTAAAATACCAAAAAGAGAATGAATTGTGGTGTGGCCATTCTCTCAGGAGTTATTTCTCACTTTCCCTCTTGGTCTCTCTCTGGTGAGTGCACATACTCTATGGCAAAATCCTAAAATGAATAAATAAAAAATTTAAGAATGGAGAGGGCAAACTGCCACCAATTTCTGTAAATAAAATGTAATCAAAACACTTACATACCAATTAATTTCCACATGCTCAGTGACTGCTTTCATGCTTTCTACAATAGAGGTGAGCAGTTGGAACAGAGACCTTATAAGTCAGTCTGTGCAGAATTATATTTCTTACTTATCACGTAAAAAAATTATGAATAAGTCTTACTTGTAGGTATAAACTGAAAAATCAAAAATTGAACCCATCCTTCTGTAATATGATTAAAATAGCAATTTTGCAAAATATAAATATGTAAGAACAATAAAATTCCATTAAAAATCCTATTATTTTAATCAATAATGTTAAGTATTTACATGGAAAATATACATGACTATTGACCATAAATGAAAAAGCACAATGAGAAAAGTCTTGTATTACTAAATAATGGATTACATAGGAAAAATAAATAAGGTAGTGATAAAAGATAAAATATCAGTTTGCATAATGGGTATGTCGCTGGACTCCCATGTAGTTGACCACAGTTTGAGTCCCAGACCGGGTGGCTTGAATTCACACTGGGTGAATGTGCATGTGCGCCCATGATCCCGAGGGAGAATGAAGGAGAAAGATTGTGGAGTGACCATCCCCACTAGGGGGTGATTTCTTACTTTCTGTCTCTCTGTCTCTCTCTGTCTTTCTGGTGAGCGCACATGCCCTATAACAAAAACCTCTCCACAAAAAAAAACAAAAAGAAAGAAAAAGATAAAATATCTCAGGAGAAATAGGTAATATTTTTTGGAATACAAATAATAAAACCATTCATTTCTATCATGCTAAAAATATTATTATAAGATATCAGAATAAAATGCATATCATGGGAAAATCACAGGGAGGAGTTGAAAAGAAATCTAGAATGAATTCTCAATACATCATTGAACCAAAGGATGAGCCAACCAGGATCCTTGTATGCTGAGATCCTATTTCAAAGGTTTGAAGTGATCTGCAGCTCAAAGAATTCTCCCAGGGTTAATGCAGAACTTAAATTTAGTCCACTTTAGTTCACATCAGTGCCTGGACCTGATGGGCAGATCACACCAATGCTAGGACCTGCTCCACAGAGTGCATTTTTCTGAGTGGGAGGGCTTTGGATTATAAATAAACCTAAAAATAAACACACAAAGAAGTACAAGTATAAAAACATGAGGATTGGGTGGGCCTGACTTCTTTAATGGAGAAAGCCATGACCCAGAACTGGTCTCAGGTTAAATACTTTATAGGGCAGAAAATGGGGGAAGAGAAAATTGAATGCAAAGCTAGTTGTTTTCAGATGTTAATTGGCTGATGATGGGAGAACAACTGGTGCCATGTCATTTCTCTGATCCTTTGTGGTTGATTCTGATAAAAGCATGACCTTAACTTGATACTGCTCTGTAGTATCAATAACAGCATGCAGCTAGTGTGTTCACATGTTTATTGCTTTTATTACCATGTAAATGACAGTTCACACAACCACATTTCCACTTGTGTCTGAAGGTCACCATGTTTACCACTCTCACACATTAGGAGCTGTCTGTACTCAAATGACACGAAGGTGATCATTTCCTTTCACATGGCATAAACAAAGAATCCATGAAATTGAAATGCTGGCTCTTTCCTTTTCCACCAGATGCAGAGGAATGTATACAATGCTTAGTTCAAGAGTATCCAAACAGTGAGAGAACACAATGCCTTCCCAAGCTTGTGATATTCCTGGATTTTGAGGATTCTTTGGGGATAGCCATGGTCTGCATGGCTCTCTGTTTCTCTGTGGTCACAGTTGTGATTTTGGTGGTCTTTGTGAAGCACCGAGACACTCCTATAGTTAAGGCCAATAACCAGACTCTCACTTTCATCCTGCTCATCTCTCTCCTCTTGTGCTTTCTCTGCTCTCTGCTGTTCATTGGTCATCCTAACACAGCCACCTGCATCCTCCAACAAGTCACATTTGCTCTTATGTTCACTGTGGCTGTTTCCACTGTTTTGGCCAAAACCATTACTGTGATTCTGGCATTCAAGGCTATGAGGCCTGGAAGAACAATGAGGTGCTTCCTGCTATCAGGAGTTTCCAACTCCGTCATTCCCATTTGCTCCCTGATCCAAGTGATTATCTGTGGGATCTGGCTGGGAACTTCTCCCCCTTACATTGACATAGACTTACACTCTGAGCCCAGAAACCTCATCATCATGTGCAACAAGGGCTCGGTCACTGCCTTCTACTGTGTCCTGGGATACCTGGGCATCTTGGCTCTGGGGAGTTTCACTGTGGCTTTCCTGGCCAGGAACCTGCCTGACACATTCAATGAGGCCAAATTCCTCACATTCAGCATGCTCATGTTCTGCAGTGTCTGGATCACCTTCCTCCCTGTCTACCACAGCACCAAGGGAAAGTTCATGGTGGCTGTGGAGGTCTTCTCCATATTGGCCTCTAGTGCAGGACTCCTAGACTGCATCTTTGCCCCCAAGTGCTACATTATTCTGATAAGACCTGATAAGAACTCTTGGAAAGCTTTAAAAAACAGAAGAGGTCCTGGAGAAAATAGGCATTCTAAGATTTGATGTCACAAGCCTGTATCACAGTTTTATGGTTTTGAACTAAAAATGTACCCCAATTATATAATCTATATATATAGGTAGCTGAATATGATTGATTTTTTCAATTGATATTTTAAAGCAGTCATTGTGTACATCTAATCTTAGTTATTAAATTTACAAATATAAGTGAACTCATATCAATGGCTATTTCTTATATTATGGATATTGATTAAAATCTAGATTTTATTAACTATTATTTATAGTGCTGCATAAAGCATTTTTTTTTTATTTATTTATTTATTTATTTATTTATTTTAGAGAGGTTTTTGCTATAGGGCGTGTGCACTCGCCAGAAAGACAGAGAGAGACAGAAAGAGAGAAATCACCCCCCCCAAGGGGATGGCCACACTGCAATCCTTTCTCCTCCATTCTCCTCTCGGGATCTTAGGCATGCACATACAAGCACCCAGTATGAGTTTAAGCCACCTGATACAGGACTTGAACCACAGTAGACTACATGGGAGTCCAGCAACATAGCCATTATGCCAACTGCCGGTCCCAAAGCTTTTTATTTCTGTATGGTTAGAAATAATGTCTGATTACCATGTTTGATTTATTAGTTTGTATCTTATTTCTCTTTTCTATGATGACCTATATAAAGTTCAATTTCTTGATGTTAAAGAAGTAGCTAGTGGTTACACTGATTCTCTGTTTGGTTTTTATATCTTTATTTATATTCATTCTCATCTGAATATCTTTGTTTCTGCTAGCTTTTAGTTTACTCTGCTCTTTTTGCAGTTTCTTGATGTGTAAAATAGAATTTATTTCATATCTTTCATCTTTGTGTTCCATTCCAGAACATTTTATTTTACCCTTTTTATATGGTATTACGTTTACACACTTGGGAAATATTTTATTCAAATATGAAAAAACTGCCTAGTGATGCAAAGCACAATAAAATAACTACATAAAGCGAAAAATAAATATGCCCATTAAAACAAAGTTATTGTAGCTGGCAGCACTTAAAATTGGTAATTTGTATTTTTAAAAGGTTGCACAGCTACAAGATGATTCATTGCTGACTAACTGTTGAGCATTTTTAAGATGAGATAATATATTTAATAAACTTCAATTCAGTAGGCAAGTCTATATTAAATAACTACAATGTAAAATGTAACTCAATTTACTCTTTGGAATGCATTCTGATAATATTATTTTCATTCAAAATATTACCATGTTTTAACTTTTCTATGTAGAATCCATTTTCCATTCCTGGGGAAAGAAATGGAAGAAGTTGACATCATGGTCTCCATTAAGAGAAAGTTTTACTGCTTGATTAATTTTTTGTTTTCACCTTTAAATGTTTAATTTATAAGAATTAAATTATATGATCTTCAACATAGATGAATGGAGAAATACTATAAAGAGACTTCAACTTTAATTTTAAAAAATTGAAAAACAATTAGTTACATAGCTCTAGAGAACTTAATAAAAAGTAAATTTGACTTCTAAATCGGTTAACTTTGGCATCTGAATATAAACTCATTAACAGTGTTGCCTGTAGGTGGCTATTAAGGACTATGCAGCTTTTCAGGATCCCCATGTCCTTTATATGCATATTTGTTACACTGAGTTCGATGCTCATTGCCCTCTCTTAAGTAGGATATTTTTTTTTCTTGTGTGTATGTCCATCTCATTATCAATCTCACATAACTCTGATTTGTGGTTGAGGATGCCTACATTTTTGATTTTCCAGAGACTGACCCTCCTATCATCTCGGTTTTTGAAGCATCTGAGAAAGACAAGAAAATCTGTAAAACAGGAATCTGACACTCAATATGAAGGGTGCTCAGGGTATGATTGACTTCATCCATCTAGGTGGCCTTTATGATCCAGGTATAGACAAGGCAGTGGTGATATGGCATCTCCCTGTTGCAATTCGCAGGCACATTGCCGGTTCCCAGGTCCTTTAGTCAGTACATCTCATTACAGGTTGTTCTTGGCTTGTTAAACACACCACATCATGCCACTGCCTTACACCAGAGGGTACAAAATGTAAACATACAGGACACTTAAACCTCCAAACGTGTGAGGGGAGAGGTGTGCTACTATGGAGCTGATCACCAGGTATGGCTCACCAGGTGTGTTCCACTAGAGATTCTGTCAACATCCTCAGGACCACTGTGCAGTGAGTCCTGCAAGCCACATGAGCCACTGCTGCTGATGCAGATGCTGAAGGAAGACTGCAGGCCCTGCCAGGACTCCATGTTTCCCACTGCCCCCACTAAGGTGCAGCTGCAGGAAGCTGCCAGGGTCACTGAGGTGCTGAGGTGCAGGACTGTAGCATGTCGGCTCCTGAGCCAGAAAGGTCCCTACCACACATCATCCCCTTGGCACCTTTGCAGCTCCTGGAAGGTCAATCTTAGCCTGAGTGCAAGTGTAGCCATTAGTTTCTGTGCACCTCTCTGCTTGGCACTCATGTGCCTTAACTTACTGAGAGCCTTTAGCTCCTGGAAAGCAGGAAGAACTTGAAGGGCCCAGGCTTCATCAGAGGCTCAGCATGTCTAGATCAGCCAGTATGGTGCTCCACCAGGTGGTCTTTTTTTGTTATCTTTTCTTCTCCGGTTTGTGTGTGACACCAGTGGCCTGATTGTGCATGGGAACTGAGGAAGGGTGGGGAGGAAGAAGTCCAGGCTCCAGAGGCCCTGCTGGCTCCAGGGACTGAGCACCTCGGGTGTTGCTTCCTGGCCAGGGTTTCAGGTCTGGTTGCATGCCTGCATCTCTCTGTGCCCCTGTAGACTCTCCCTCTTCCAGCAGAACTTCAATAGCATATCCTTGGATTCCGTGGTGGCTCATGGAGGAGGTTCATCTGTCTGAAATATTTTAATATGTCTCTAAGCAAAATGTTTGCAGTATCTCAACATTTCAGTATATTGCTTCCAGCTTTGCCTCAGAAATTTGTGTTAGTAAGACATATGAATTAGTATTTAAATAAAATATACAGTACATATAAAGCTATTTTTCTTGGCAAATATAACCACACAATTTGACTTTTTTAAAACCTATGGAACAATTCCAATTAAAAGCACCACAATTTTCTAAGTATAGGTGAGAAAACAGAAGGTTATTTCATTCATTAGATTAATAATAGACCCAGCCTCAGTGGCACAGGTCTATGGCCAGATTGAAAGTCTCTGGGTTTGCTTCCAGGGTTCACCTGACTCACTACAGGGTGGGTGGAGGACAGCCACAAGATAACACTTTGAAGGGTGTCTGTCTTTCTGTCTAATTAAAAAGTGCATGCATATAAATGATAGATAGATAATACAGACACACATATATGTATGGGTATATATATATATATACACATAGAGAGAGAAAGAGAGAGATTTGCTATAGGTTAAATTTGCTCACCAGAAAGAAAGAGACAGAAATTGAGAAATCACCCACCTAGCAGGGATGGCCATGGTGCAATCCCATCTCCTCCATTCGCCTCTATGGATTTTGGGCACACATACACATGCTCCTGGAGTGAGTTTAAGCCACCAGGACTGGGATTTGAACTGCAATTTACTGCATGGGAGTCCAGCAATGTAACCATTACATCATTTGCTAGTAAAAAGAAAAATGATTTTTAAAAAGCAATTGGTACCAAATAGGTACAGAATTGTAATTATTTCTATACCCTAGTTGCCGCTGGGGGAATCTATTCATCTGTATTAAAGTCACAGCTTCACACTATGTGCTATGCAATCGTATTTTGTAAAAGCATGGAGACCATACAGTCAACACAGGCAGAACATGGGGAGCTGCCTTTCATGCCTAAGCAAGGTTGAGCTGAGAAGAACTGCAAGCAAGGCTGACAGTTATGGGCTCCAGTTTCTAACTGTGTTTTGCTGTACTGGTTTGTACTTTCAATCTTTCTGCCATGAGCTTTACTGTTATTACGGTACCCCTCAAGGGTAAAAAAACCACCCTCAGTCTTACTGCAACTTTATGATAAAGCTAATTAGTGATCCTGAAGGAATGAGGTTCCCTAAAGTGACTGGGATCAGGAAATTACTTTATGAGACTCCCCCACCTGCCTGTGTTAAGCCAAATTAGCATATGTTAGGTTAAATTAGTATAAGCCAAATTAGCGTGAGTAGCAATTAGGTTAAATTAGTATAAGCCAAATTAGTGTGAGTAGCAGGTGTAGACTAAGTTAGTTTAAGGCTAATTTTACATAAATATCCCCTTGTTAAAGCTACAGGCCAAGGCTTATGTTAGGCTAAGTTAGCGCATCCACCACCATGACAGAGATTCAAAGATAGAGCACAAGAATTCACTGATTAACAAACAGGGATTCAGCAAATAAAATACAGGGATCCACAGGTTAATAGAGGAAGGACAAGCTTGGCTGATAATGACAAGATGAACAAACCTGAAGACGTCAAGGGAAGATTATCTATCTTTACTGAGAGTTCTTATCTAAATTCAGGAAGGCAACAGATAGTCTTTAACTACAAAGAGTTTCTCATCTGTGTGCTGTTAACTATGAAAAACTGCTAATAAAACATCCTGTGTTGTCCCCTGAGCTACAAAACCCTCACATCCAAAAAGGCCCTATCCAGTAATCAAGGTCTAAGAAGAAAATGCACCAGACAGATGGACTTTCTTGCCCTGAAAACTGTGACTGATTATACTTAATCAAACAGAACAGACATCATGTTTATGATTATGGTTCCCATATTTTGAATACCCTATTTCTTAGAGTAAATCTTTTACTTCCCCCTCACCCCTCCTACTTCTGGAAAACATCCCTCAATAAATACGTATGTTTGATAGCCACTGAGGCTGCAGTCTTGAGCTTGCTCTGACTGTAGTCAGCTGAGAACATGTTAAAGAGCATTAAGGTCTCAGTCTGATTTCTTCTCATGTCTCAGTCTGATATTTTTCTCATCTGTGTCACCTTCCTGTGTATGAGCCTCAACCCACCCCAGCTGGAGCAGGTCTCCGGCAAAAGCACTGTCTTATAGGCCACA